AAGACATGTTGTGTCATCTGCAAATAATATGGGTTTGAGTAGCTGTGATGCATTCGGTAGATCATTGATGTAGATGAGAAAGAGGAGTGGTCCAAGGACACTTCCTTGTGGGACTCCTACTGTGATTGGTTGGGTGGAAGAGATTGCATCATTTGCATACACATATTGAGTTCTGTTACTAAGGTATGATTTTAGGTAGTATGACAAACTCTTTCAGAGAGATATGGAGATGGACCTGGATACTGACATACTCGCATATCATAGCGACGACAAGTAATACAGTCCTTTATTTGTTTTTTCACACTTTTCGACCTTGAGGTATCCAGTAGGATTGTCGTATATGACAAAGTGTGTCGGCTACCCCACCATGTAACACGTTACTGTGGGCGTTTTGAACAATCAGTTTTGTTAGCCAATGATTCTTTGGGATCAATATTGGATGTTTGGCTTCTTTAGGTAGTGAACAATTATGAATTCTTCCTCGACATCTTATAATCTTTTCTGAATTAATCATAACAGGTTTCTTTGGGGATTTATTTTGTCTTTCCATAAATTTATATTCTGTAGAGAAAACATTTTTCTGTATTAGTTTCACCCAGTATTTAATGGGTTCAAGACATTCATAATCAGGTTTTATCCCTTTAATGAATTTAAAGACAAGAGTTGTAACTCTTAAGAGTTTACCCAAAGATGAGTATTTAGATCCATCAATGACTATTTCTGTTGTGTCTGCAGTTTACACAACTTGTTTCTGCTGTGTTCAAGCAAACTGTTTCTTCTGGCATAATGTGAGCTTTTTGCTGAGGCCAGTTATTTTCATTAGAGAGCCAGTTCAGTCCGTGGAACCATAATTTATTATCCACAGATTTCTTGAGTGGGACACCACGTGACAACATGTCAGCTGGATTCTCTTGGGTAGAGACGTGGAGAAAGAGGTAATCTCTCTGCATCTCTTTTATTTCTGCTACTCTATTCTGTTGAAGAATTGAGACACTTATGCAACACATGGGAATCTTTATTGAACAACGTTTCGCCACACAGTGGCTTCATCAGTCCAATACAAAGTAGAAATGGGTAAGGAGAGTAGAAGTATGAGGTAATCAGTCCCTCAACCTGGATTCGATCTGTTCAGTCCATCACTCTTGTAGTAAGTGCAGCATAGGGCCAGAGAGGTGGCTTATATACTGCGGTGAGATGAGTTGAAGCAGGAGGAGGCGGGATCTTAGTGGGACCTGCCACTAGTGTAAGTAGGTCGTCGTCCAAAGGTTGGGCAAGCGTTGAAGTCTTTGTACCAAGATTCCATGATGTTGCAGTGTCTGACAGATGTGATGAATGGTTTTGAAAACCGACGAGTTGAAGAATTGAGACACTTATGCAACACATGGGAATCTTTATTGAAGAAACGTTTTGCCACACAGTGGCTTCATCAGTCCAATACAAAGTAGAAATGGGTAAGGAGAGTAGAAGTATGAGGTAATCAGTCCCTCAACCTGGATTCGATGTGTTCAGTCCATCACTCTTGTAGTAAGTGCAGCATAGGGCCAGAGAGGTGGCTTATATACTGCGGTGAGATGAGTTGAAGCAGGAGGAGGCGGGATCTTAGTGGGACCTGCCACTAGTGTAAGTAGGTCGTCGTCCAAAGGTTGGGCAAGCGTTGAAGTCTGGTTTTCAAAACCATTCATCACATCTGTCAGACACTGCAACATCATGGAATCTTGGTACAAAGACTTCAACGCTTGCCCAACCTTTGGACGATGACCTACTTACACTAGTGGCAGGTCCCACTAAGATCCCGCCTCCTCCTGCTTCAACTCATCTCACCGCAGTATATAAGCCACCTCTCTGGCCCTATGCTGCACTTACTACAAGAGTGATGGACTGAACAGATCGAATCCAGGTTGAGGGACTGATTACCTCATACTTCTACTCTCCTTACCCATTTCTACTTTGTATTGGACTGATGAAGCCACTGTGTGGCGAAACGTTTCTTCAATAAAGATTCCCATGTGTTGCATAAGTGTCTCAATTCTTCAACTTGTCGGTTTTCAAAACCATTCATCACTCACTCTATTCTGTACATAGACCAACTTACTCTTATTATTTCTTAACCGCTGGAGAACTGCTTCATTATCACTCCAGATCACGGTTTTTTCAATAGTGGGATGATCAAGTACTTTGTTTAGATTGCTAATTTTGTACCTACATAGAGTGCTGTTTTCAATTGTGGCACTGTTCTGACCTTCAAGGGTGCTACCCTGGCCTTTGAAGTAATTAATGTACTTCCTTCAGCATTACTTATGTAAGCTACAGCACCATAACCTCTGGTTGACGCATCACAGAGCACATGTAATGTGTACTTGTTTCCTTCTTGACCTATTTGTCTGGGAAATTTAATTTGATGAAGTTGTTTAAACTCCTTAGATATTTCATCCCATGCTTGACTCATTTCAAGAGGCAAGTTCTCATCCCATCCAGTTTTGAGCTTCCATGCATCTTGCATGAGTATTTTACCTTTTATGGTAATCGGTGAGACGAGTCCTAGAGGATCAAAACATTGTGATACCTCTGACAGTAAACTACGTTTAGTGAGTGTACTGCATGATTTATTGTTTATCCTTTTGAGACTCAAAGTGTCTGTCTGTGTGTTCCAATTAAGTCCCAGCATATTGTTGCAATCATGAATTTCAGCTTCAGGGAAATCTTCTTTGATAAGTTCCCTTAAATTTGAGATTTTACTGGCTAGAAATCATCTTATTGTTGAGAAGACATAAATAATTTACTAGCTGTTGATGCAGGTTAGATGGGAGGTTTATTTTGTTAGAATAATTTCTTTGGTTGGAGGAAGGGGGGTAAAGGAGGTTTTGTGTGTGAGGGGCTTGGACTTCCAGCAAGCATGCATGAGCTTGTTAGATAGGAGCAAATGGAGACAAATGGTTTTTAGGACTTGACATGCTGTTGGAGTGTTAGCAAGGTACCATTTATGAAGGGATTCAGGGAAACCTTGCCGGACTTGTGTCCTGGAGATGGGAAGTACAATGTCTGCACTCTGAAGGAAAGGTGTTAATGTTGCAGTTTTATAACTGTAATGTAAGCGCATCTCTGGCAAGACAGTGATGGAGCGAATGATGGTGAAAGTTTTTCTTTTTCGGGCCACCCTGCCTTGGTGGGAAACGGCTGATGTTTTATAATAATAAAAAAATAATAATTTCTTTGGTTATGGCTAATTTTACTGAGTCCAGAATTTGTGAAATTGTTTTTCAGGTTTATTTTTTAACCCTTTGGGGATTTCAGCCGTACTAGTATGGCTTACGCCCTAGGGTTTTTGACGTACTAGTACGCCTAAATTCTAGCGCCCTCAAATCTAGTGAGAGAAAGCTGGTAGGCCTACATATGAAAGAATGGGTCTATGTGGTCAGTGTACACAGTATAAAAAAAATCCTGCGGCACAAAGTGCGTAATGAGAAAAAAAAACTTTTACCGTGTTTTTGGATTAAAACAGCGACTTTGCACTATATTTTCATATGGTATTTATTATTGTATTCTAGTTTTCTTGGTCTCATTTTATAGAATGGAAGACATATTACAGAAATTGAAATGATTTTGGCTGGTTTTACAATGAAAAGTACCTTGAAATTGAGCTCAAAGTAGCAGAAATGTTCAATTTTTACCGAAGTTCAAAAGTAAACAAATCATGCCAAGCGTCCAATACACATCAACTGGTGAGTCTGATATTCTTTCACAAGTGCGCTGATATTAATTATACCATTTCTACACTAATGCAGTAGTCTGCATAACAGTAAATCTTCCATTTTTTATAAGAATAAAAATTCAAAGTGGAAAGCTAAAGAAATATAAGAGGGGCCTGGGGATGTGACTAACGAACAGAGAACTTGTTATTTTAGTGCCAGGAATGTCTTTCTTATTTATTCTGGACCCTATTCAGAAATTGCCATCTTTTGAAATTTGTGTGAAATTGGCAAAATTGCTAAATTCTGACCACTTTGTTGGATAGTTGAAATCGGTAAATGGGTGGTTTCTTGTACTCATTCGATAGAAAAAATGGAATTCTAGCGAAATAGTTATGATTTTTGTTGACTAATACACTGGAATTGGCCAAAAATAGGGCTCAAAGTGGGCAAAATCGCCGATCCGTAAACATTGTCAAGACCGCTAACTTCGCGAGAGCATAATTCTGTAAGTTTTCCATCAAATTTCATACTTTTGGTGTCATTATGATCAGGAAAAGATTCTCTATCTTTTCATAAGAATTTTTTTTTTTTTTTTTTTTTTTTTTTTTTTTTAAATTTTCGCGCCCCTGAGAACAAGTCTCTGAGAGGGCCTGGCGACCCCCAAAGGGTTAAATTTCCTTTTGTTTCAATCAGCCTGCTAACATAATGGAGTTGCTTAGATTCCTTTGAATTTTTATCAAAAACTAACTTATTACATCAAATTTGGCTATATTTTCTTTTTAGCTCTCCTACAACACACTGGTCTCCTACAACACACTGGTCTCCTACAACACACTGGTCTCCTACAACACACTGGTCTCCTACAACACACTGGTCTCCTACAACACACTGGTCTCCTACAACACACTGGTCTCCTACAACACACTGGTCTCTGACCGTTGCATATTCCTTCTCTAGCACAATCCTACAATGCTGTATGACTCTTTCAGATTTAGCACTCAAATTTAATTATATTATTTTTCCCGATGAAGATGTTTATTATCAATGTTACATTATTTATACACTCATTAGTTAACAAAATGTTTATTATATTCAACATATGATTTATGTGTAAAATATTTACTGATAAACATAGATATGTACCATATCTGTAAACTTCTTTAATTCTTTCAGTTCTTAAAAATTTAAAAGTGACACTTTATGTAGTAAAATGTGTTAATGGAGAAAAATTTGATAGTTTTCTAATTCAGTATATTGTGTTGGTAATGATGCGATATTGTACTATACTGACTCATGTTTTTATTGCAGATGTGTTTTGTGAATGAAATTGTATCTTGCCAGACACTGCATCTTCAGTACTTCAAGAAGCACCTGTGTGTCTTGAACAACAACTAATACTGCAAAAGTGGAACATTACCAGGTTATCTTGCCAGACACTGTATCTTCAGTACTTCAAGAAGGGCAACACCTGTCTTTCTTGTGAATTTCTAACTAGCCAAGTTTTACTAATTAAACAATTTTACTTTCGATGTTGGGAATTCTATCTAAACACTACATGGCAGTTCACAGAAAAATACAAGTTAGCAATAATGTAGTTAAGAATTTTCAGAAAAATTGGTGATTAAACACATGATAATAATAATAATGCTCTTCAGTATATCTGTAGTGTTCTAGTTCATATATTAGTCTTTTAACACACAAAAAATAAACTTTATTAGTGCTCATATTTAGAAATGGTTTTGCCTAAAAAAAATCTTAACATTGAATGTATTCATGAGGGAAACTGCTGAATGATTAAAATATTTTAAAATGAAATGCCTTCTTTTAAAAAAACTTAAAAAACTTAAAGGAGATAAACAATATCAGTGTTCAGAATGTATGAAATATTTTAGTCAAAAATGCCATATTGTGACACACATGCGAATACATACAGGAGATAAACCATATAAGTGTTCCGAGTGTCTGAAATATTTCAGAGAAAAAGGCAATCTTGTGACACATATGCGAGTACATACAGGAGATAAACCATTTCAGTGTTCAGAGTGTCTGAAATGTTTTAGTCTAAAAGGCAGTCTTGTGAAACATGCTAGAGTACATACAGGAGATAAACCATATCAGTGTTCAGAATGTCTGAAATATTTTAGTCAAAAATGCCATCTTGTGACACACATGCGAATACATACAGGAGACAAACCATATCAGTGTTCCAAGTGCGTAAAATATTTTAGAGAAAAGGGCAGTCTTGTGACGCATATGCGAGCACATACAGGTGATAAACCATTTCAGTGTTCAGAGTGTCTGAAATGTTTTAGTCTAAAAGGCAGTCTTGTGAGACATTCACAGGTACATAGAGGAAACAAACCATATCAGTGTTCAGAGTGTCTGAAATATTTAAGTGAAAAAGGCAGTCTTGTGAGACATATGAGGGTACATACAGGTGATAAACAATTTCAGTGTTCAGAGTGTTTAAAATGTTTTAGCCGAAAAAGCAGTCTTGTGACACACATGCATGTACATACAGGAAATAAACCATACCAGTGTACAGAATGTCTGAAATATTTTAGTGAAAAAGGCAGTCTTGTGAGACATATGAAGGTACATACAGGAGAAAAACCATTTCAGTGTTCAGAGTGCCTTGAATGTTTTACTCAAAAAAATAATCTTCTGACACATTTGCGAATACATACAGGAGATAAGCCATTTCAGTGTTCAAAGTGTTTGAAATGTTTTAGTGTAAAAAGCAGTCTTGTGAAACATATGCAAGTGCATATAGGAGAAAAAACATGTTAGTGTTTAATGTATCAGGAATATTTTGGTTATGAACAAATGAGAATATATATAATGAATATACAGTACCATTGTTCAGAGTGAAAGATGTTAATGAAATGTAAATCATATAAGAAGTTCACAGAGGAGATACGTTCTATTAATGTTCAGAATATCTTATAGATTTTCTTGCAAAAAGAACAGTATTGTGTTTTCATGAGAGCTAATATAAACAATATATATGGGAAATACTTTAAAGTTAAGTCTGTAATATGCTTACTGTAGTTGCCAACCTCTTCAAGGGGGGCTCCTTGGCGTGGTGAAGAGGCTCTTGGTCTGAGGAATTAGACCTGTCAGTCTCCTTCCTCAGCCCGAACCTAATTACCCCCCAATCCCCCCTTCCCTATCCCATCCTCCCCATCCTCCCCTTTTCCCTTTCCTCCTCCCCCTCCCCACCCCTCCCTTTTGCTCTTCCTCTTCTTGGCCTTTGGGATTTTTCCCACAGGTGCACTAGTTCCTAGGTAGGGGAAAGGGTACCTGGGTCCATCCCATTCCGTTGAGGTTCTTGGCGGTGGCGTAGTTTGCCGTGGAATCTGGATCACCTGGGGATGTCCCGATCCCTCTCTGGTATCCCGGAGAGTGGCTTTGGGTGTCTTTCAGGCGATGGGTGTATCTCTGGAGGCCACCTTTCGGATTCCGGGGGTGGTGGCCGAAGGAGGTATGCTTTGTGGCAGATATCCGGCTGCCCTCTCTTTTGTCCACCGAGGTAGCTCGGCAGATGTGAGGTTGCTATCCCGGATTGCTGGTTTACTGGCATGATGGGTAGGGTATGGCACGAGTTCCATGCTGCATCTATGCTACTTGTGGTGCTGAGGTCCTCTTGGGTGCTGTGGGAGATTTCTGGCCGTTTCATTCCTCCTAGGAACTGTCCCTCCCTGGTCCTCCCTTTTTTTTTATTCTTTTTTTATTTTTATTTTCTTTTCTTTCTTTTTTTTCTTAAAAACAAAAAGAAAGAAGTAACCTAACCATGAAGAACCCAATCCATGAACCTGGTACCCCCAGGCCCCTTCTTGATACCGCACCCCGTTCTGACCCCGCCTCATCTTTGAACCACTCTTCAGACACTCCTCATGCCTCTGTACCTCTTGCCGGTGCTGTTTCCTCACCCGCTTCAGGTAGTGAGCTCTCGACTGACTCCTTTGATTTATCTGACCTCCGCTCTCCTTTGACTATGCTTCCGGCCTCTCCCTCTACGGTGCGGCAATTTTCGAATCGCCGGCCCATTCCACGTCGGACCAACTCTGGTCCCACGCCTAAACGCCAACGACAATTACCTGCTGATGATATTTCTCCACCTTCTCGTTCTTCTCAGAAAAGATCGACACGTCCTGCACTCCCTTTCCACGCTCAGTTTCAGACTGCACAATGGACTAAATTCTTCACTTTACGACCGACTTCCTCTACTGCCTATCTTTCCAACCATAGTATTGGCAAGGCACTCCTACGCCATGTTGGTAAAGATATTTCTTTTCATGCTCTTAAGAGCGGTACGTGCATCATTACTGTACAGAATGCTACCCAAGCTCATGACCTTTCTCTTCTTTCCCATATAGATACTGTTCCTGTCACTATTGAAAAACATCATTCCCTCAATTCTTGTAGTGGTACCGTCATTCTACCCCATACTATAGTTCAACAAAATTTCCAGACATGTGGCAATGACATTCTTGAACAGCTGGAACTCCAAGATCTCCCAATCCTCAATGTAGACACTTATGTTCTTCCTGCCCGCAGGCGGAGACGATACCCTAGCAATGTGGCTCGTTTAACTTTTGACAGCCGTGAACTCCCATCCTCAGTTTATGTGGCAGGACATTGGTTACAAATTCAAAAGGTGATCCCTACACCGCAACAGTGTAGAAATTGCTGGCGATTTGGCCATCCAGCGAAATATTGCAGATCCATAGCCGAATGCCCAGTCTCTGGTGCCGATGACCATTCTAATACTTCTTGCAATCGACCTCCCTCTTGCCTTAATTGTCATGAGGCTCACCCTTTGTACTCTCGCTGTTGCCAAGTCTACGTAAATGAGTGGGAAATCCGTTACCTCAAAGAGGCAGAAGGTCTCCCTTATGCCATGGCAGTTTCTCATCTCCGCCTCCAAGGGAGACTACCTCGTGTATCTTATTCCCGTGTTTCAAAACGTCCCCCCACTTCTGGGGTCCCATCTTATGCAGTCTCCTCTGTGGTTACCTCTCCCATAGTCACTCCTGTATCTAATTCTTTTGCTGTCCTAGGCTCAGACGTCCCCACTTCCACACCTCAGTCTATTCATGCTTCTTCGTGTTCTCCCTCACAAGCCTCAGCATCGATGAGACCTCATATGACACCTCCTCCCAATCATCCCTCTACTTCTCAGAAGTCAAAAAAAGGTCCTTTAACCCCTCCTTCCCTACTTCCACCTCATTTTACCTTCCCTGTCTCTGTACCGGGTTCTTCCCCTATCATTGGCTCTGTTACAAGTGTAGAGGTTCACCCTCCTCCTCGTACTATACCTACCTCCCCTGTTCCCTCCCAGGTTTCTTCCTCTTCTGCCATGTCCCAGGTTTCTGCCTCTTCTGCACCCTTCCATGCTTCTTCTCCAGTTCCCTCCACCCTTTCGCCCCATCCCTACCTTGGTACAGTCCTTTACCATTTGAATCTTTACTCATCCTCCCCCTACCATCTCCAATATTGTCTCCCATACGACGTCTCTGAATTCCAAAACACTTGAAGCAATCTCTGAATATATTGCAGAGACCAAACCATCAATGGCCACTGATCCACCCTCTGTTCCTTCTCTCTCCTCTCCTCCATCTGTGCAACTCCTTTCTTCACAACGCACCATTCCTTCGCTGCTTGAACGTTTTCCGCTGCCTCCGCATGTGGACTTTTCTAACCCCTCTAGTCCGTAGGAACCCTTACCTGTGGATTTCAAATATCTTTATCATTGCCAATCATGGCCTATTTACAGTGGAATATACGTGGCCTCAGGGGTAATTGGGGTGAGCTTCAGATGTTACTCTCCCAGTTTTCCCCTGTTGGTGTTTGCTTACAGGAACCAAAGTTACACTCTGCTGTTATCTCTCCCATCTCAGGCTATAATTTATTGTATTCTTCAGATCCTTTTCCTGATGGGACCTTTAATGAAAGTGCCCTTCTTCTACGCAATGATATTCCGTACCATCAGCTATTTGTTCGTACTCGCTGCATTACACAGCAACCCGTATCCACTTGCATAGGTGGTATACGCTCTGTTCTTTATATCTCTCTCCTTCTCAGGCATTATCTATTCCGGATATTGCCTTTCTTGTTTCGTCATTACCGCCACCGATTCTGTTACTTCGCGATTTTAATGCCCGTCATTTCCTCTGGGGGGGAGAGTCTCACTGTGATTCCCGTGGCATTCAGTTAGAGGCTTTTCTTGCTTCCCACCCCCTCCATGTTTGATCCTCGGACTCACACTCTCTCTTGCATCGATCTCTCAGTCTGCTCTTCCTCCGCCGCATTAGACTTCACTTGGTCTGTTCTCCCGGACTTACATGGCAGCGATCATTTCCCCTTCATATTCATCACCTCTTCGCATCCCACGCTGGCAATTTGATCAGGCAAATTGGAACCTTTACTCACACCTAACTGTTTTTAGAGAGGTTCCTTCTTCGTCCTCCATTGATGAGCTTTTACACCACCTCCTCTGTTTTAACTGCCGCTTCTAATTGTATACCCCAAACTACGGGCAGGCATTCTCAGAAATGCGTGCCTTGGTGGTCTCCTGCTTGTGCTTGTGCAGCATGTTTGAAACGCGCTGCATGGGGCAGGTACCTGTACAATAGAACCACGGAGACTTCTTGATTTTAAGCAGAAGCGTGCGATCACTCGCCGTGTCATCCGTGATGCTAAACACACTTGCTGGTGAGATTATGTCTCCACCATCACCTCTACTTCCTCTATGAGTGCAGTCTGGAAAAAAGTACGAAAACTGAGTGGTAAATATTCTCCTGACCCGGCTCCTGTTCTGCGGGTTGCCGGTGTTGATATAGCAAACCCACTAGATGTTGAGAATGAAATTGGCAATCATCTGGTCCATATTTCTCACAGACTCCATCTATGCCCCTCGTTTCTTTCCTCAAAGTCTGCCAGAGAGTTAGCACCCTTGGACTTTTCTTCTCTCAGAGAAGAACAGTATAACGTGCCTTTTACACTTCAAGAACTGGAGGCAACACTCTCAGCTTGCTGATCATCGGCAGCTGGGCCCGACGACATTCACATTCGTATGCTACAACACTTACTTCAGTCAGCCCTTTCAGTCCTATTACGCCTTTACAATCTTATTTGGTCACAAGGAGTTCTTCCCCAGCTGTGGAAATCTGCCATTGTTCTCCCTTTCCGCAAACCAGGCACTACGGGACATGAAGCCTCCCACTATCATCCCATTGCTCTTACCAGTGCAGTTTGCAAGGTGATGGAACGCCTGGTAAATAGACGTTTAGTGTGGTATTTAAGACACACAACAGTCTCTCCACTCGTCAATATGGCTTTCGTAAGGGACGTTCTACCATAGACCCCTTACTACGCTTGGATACGTATGTTTGTAATGCCTTTGCGAATAACCACTCAGTTATTGTCATATTTTTTGACCTTGAGAAGGCATATGACACAACTTGGAGGTATAATATTTTAGCCCAAGCCCACTCCTTAGGCCTTCGAGGCAATCTATCATCCTTCCTTAAGAACTTTTTAACTGACAGGCATTTCCATGTTTGGGTTAATAATGTGCTCTCCCTGGACTTTATCCAAGCTGAAGGTGTCCCCCAGGGATGTGTTCTGAGCACAACGATTTTTCTCCTTGCTATAAATGATTTGGCCTCTAGTCTTCCATCAAATATTTGATCATCACTCTATGTTGATGACTTCGCTATTGCCTGTGCAGGCGCTGACTGTCACCTCATTACAGTGAGGTCGACCATGTTTCCAATTGGTCTATCGCACATGGGTTTAAATTTTCCAGCACTAAAACCCACCAAATTACTTTCACTAGAAGCTATGTCATTTCCGATCATCCTTTGTGCCTCTATGGCTCCCGTATCCCTGAACGTGATACAGTCAAGTTTCTGGGCCTCCTCTTTGACCGTAGGATATCCTGGAAACCTCACATTATCTCTCTGAAGGCAACTTGTCACAGCCGGCTGAACCTTCT